GACGATTCGTGCTACTCCCTCTCGACCAAGTATTACAAACCAAACATACATGCCGAGTAATGCCCCAGATGGGCGACGGAGTCTTAGTCGGAGTGAATTCAGACCCCCGTCTAGCCAAGCCAGACATACACCATGGAATTCTGTCTCTGGTGTTGACTATAAAGGCGCTTCTACTCCCAGCAGACCGCCTTCGCGATCCCAATCGAGAGCTGGTGCACGAACACCCAATGGGATGTACGGCACTAACCCAAGGACGAGGCCGCAAACGCCTTCTCATATTCCAGCGCCCGTATCATACTTCAATTTAGCCAGGTCTCCAAGCAGAGCTGCATCAGAAAGTGATTTGGATGATATGGAATTCCCCACTTCCTTGATGCAACGAGCCTTCACGCCTTCGGCGGATCGGGGATTCGCTACGCCGGATCCTGGAAGGAAGCGACGGCCTTCGAATTCTCTCATTCCTGTTCCCACACTGAATATCACTAGCAACTCCAGGCCGGGAACTGCTCTATCTATGAATGATCATCGTTCGGGCTCGCCCTCCCAAGATGGACATGGACGACGCAGCCCTCGAGAGAGCCCAAGCGCTTGGAAAGAGGGCTCTGTATTCAAAGAGTCTCCTTCGAATCCCTACAAGGATTCATCTCCTTCTGCTGGGAGAGCAGGTGCAAGAAGTCAGACACCTGAGGCGATGCTTCGAAGTCGCGCCATGCAAACACCTGTCTACTTGGATAATTCAAGTCCAAACGAGAAGAATGCGACGCCCAGTGGCCGCCCAAGGGCTAGTGCACCATCCAGCTTCAAGGGTGACGGAAAGACCTTGGTGTTTGGACCAGGTGGGAGTGGTAATCCCAATGAAGGAGGAAGAGGACCTTCAAGGCCGACTTCAAGGTCTGCCAACTATGGATTTGGGAGAATGACTCCCGGATTAGACGGCCCAGGGCCGACATATATTCCAGCGAAGACGGATGAACTGGATGTTGAAGTGGCAAATGTAGTCAACGGAATGCCACACGGATTCTTGTAAGTGTCTGCACATCTATGTTTGTTGCTTTCATTAAGCTCATATTCCAAAAGGTTTGAGCGTGGCGAACCACCGAGAAAGACACCCGCGAAGGCCGGAGAAGAAGTCAAGGCGCAATATGCAATGTCGAACGCCCTTGGAAG